TGGGTGTCAGCAGACTCCAAAATGAAGGATTTGGACATGATCAACTTTATACCTATTCTACATGTGAAATGCTATTATTCTTCTGAGATCTGAAGCTGATAGACATATTCTTGATCTTATCATTAAAACGGCATCATGTAATAGAAGGCATACAAATATCATTTGGGTATGACTGTTGTTCCATTCATTTCAAGGAAATCTGAGATAACCTTAATATTTTATAATTTATTATAAAGAGTAAATCTGTGTGAATTACATGTGTGTGTGTGTGTGTGTGTATGTGTGTGTGTGTAGCTGAAGTTTCTCTTCAAACAGAACATTTGAATGCACCCATATCCATTTATACACTGTGGAGAAAATGTAGCAGTCTCACAGTGACTTTAAAAGGCACTGCATTCCATCACGCTTTGGAAACAAACTGTGCGGTTTTTACATCCACAGCCTGAAATGTCTCATCAACAGATTATTGTTAGTGATGGGGAATTCCAGGCTGGCGGGTGGGAGAGACCAGGCTGGGAATGCTTTCATATGGCCCCCAGGATGCCACGATGGCTGTGGCTGAAAGAAGTCTTTGTTCTTTGTCCAGGTTTAGCAAGCCCTTGGGGACTTTTGGTGCCGGCCGGTAGGGGATCGGCGCCAGGCGAGTCCAGCTTTGCGTGGCACCTAGGAGGCAGCAGGGCGGGGCGCTCAGGAGCAGCCCCTGGCACAGGACTGTGGGTGTGGGCCCCAGCTTCAAACATGACCAGCCCTGTGAGTGTGAGCAAGCTGTCCATCTTTTCTATGTCTAATTCATACCTTACAGGGCTGTGTAAGGAGTTGATAACAAAATGCTTAGCACCGAGTACTGAACACATGGAAGTCACGACAAATATCAGGCAACACCTGATTTTGCAAAGGAGGAAGAGAGGTTCAAGGTCCCACGGTGAGTTAGTGGCAGCTCCAGTGCTGGCTCCCTGTCCTCCTTCTAGCTCTTCCTAGTTCTTTGGAATTACCTGCCTTTACCATAATAGCTCCTCAGATCCCGAGTGGAAGAAGATGAGGAGGTGATGGCTGAGCAGATATAAGTTAATCAGCCATCTTTCTTCCCTGCTTACTCCCTTCTAAATGCCCCTTATATCTATGCTTCTCTTTCTATTCTCTTACCACCGTCCGTATTTACATTTCATTTACATTTGGTATTTCATCAAAGGATATATTATCTCCCATTAGTTGTTAACAATTGTTGAATGCTCATAGTTTGATAAATAGAAGTTTAAAAAGTGTTTCTTTTGGTTTTTAAAGAAAATACGATTGTGTGAAAGGGCTGTCTTTGACTTCACTGTCCCTTTGCCGCTGTCACGACCACTGATAATACCAAAAGAAGAAGCTGCTTGCTGCACTGGGGCACGAGTGCTACACCCACTCATCAGGACAGCACAGAGTCTGACAAGCTCGTTCCCTCAGATGGAGCCGACGCTACCTTGCATGGTGTCTGGGGCTCTCCTGCTCTGCACCTTGCCTATCACTCCTGGCTCAATGTCTACTGATTCCACTTTGGCTTACTTTTTGGTAATAAATAATAAAAACAAAGTAAATAATCAGCAAGTTTTAGGAAAAAAAAATCAATCGAAACAGGTAACAATTAAAAATACCTCTGGTTGTTTCCAAGTCTTAATCCACTGTACATATTTTTGATTCCCCTTCCTAAATATAGTAACTGCCTTTTATTAAGCCCTCACAAGTTTGACACATGACTTGCCCAGTGTCACCTGATCAGTAGGAAGCATAACCAGAATTCAAACCAAGTTAGCCTAAGGCTAAAGCCTAGATTTCTGGGTTTCCCTTTTACTTGCTTTGAAAAGTAGACGCCCATCCATTGTTGAAGATTTAGTTCAGCTGTTTCTAACTTTTTAAAAAGTGGAGACAATCCAGACGTTCATTAGTTTGGGACTGGTTAAATAAGTAGGGATAAGTAAATAAGTAAAGATCTGTACACTGGGATAATATACACATATATTAAATAAAGATGAAAATTAAAGTTCACTGACATGGAAAAAATGAGAGATAATTGAGTGAAAAAGTTTGTAAATCAGCACATCCAGCACATGACAAAGTCTTACTTTTGTGGATATCCCTGTCTCCCTCCCGTATTTATGATAAATCTCTACTCAGAGAAGAAGTCTGGAAGGATATTCAATAACATGTTTAACAATATGATTACTCTGTGTTATGGACTGTGTCCTCCCATAATTCATCATAACCCCCAGTGTGATGGGACCAGTGGAGGTGATTAGGGCTGGATAAGGTCATGAGGGTGGGGCTGACGGAATTAGTGTGTTTTTAAAGAAAGAGCCCTTTCTCTGTCTGGCTAAATACACCCACAGCACACAGCGAGATGGCAGTGCGCTTTGGATCTTTCTTTCCTTCATTTTGAGGTGTGCAAAAGCCAGGGGACTGTTGATCTGTCTTTGCAGCCCCAGTTGCTGTGACGGGGTTAGCACCCTGCATGGGTTCAACACACACATTTCCAATGAAGAAAAAGAATAAGTCATGTCACACATGCTTATGCCTGGGCTACCTCTGCCTATTCTGATGTGGTTGAGTTCTGTCCCCAGTAAAGGTAGGAGTGGGGGTGACAGTTGGGAGGTTTCTTTTTGTCCAAGGAGAGAAGTGACTACAGAGGAACTGGTAGCCATGTTCCCAGAGACAGCACCGTGGGAGGGGAATAGGAACAATGCAACTTTAATTCACGAGCTTTCCACCAAATCTTCATGCTTAACATTAGTCACTGTCCGCTTCTGTTCATGGGACTTCCAGCTGTGGCTGGCGAATCCCTCCAGCTTGGCCTCGTCCACCACTTCCCTTAGCCTCACTCAAGCACAATGGTTGGAGCTTTCATTAATTTGTTTTTACCAGTGGTAGAAAAGAATAAAACTATCCAAAACACTGACATCTGTTCAGGTGTTATTACCCACACCAACTATTCTCGTGAAGCAGATTTCTCTCTTCTCTACTTCAAGCCATTTAGGCCTAGTAATAGTTATTATTGGTATTAGTCAACCATACTTAGCATTCTTCCATGTCTGCACACCTGCATTTTAAAAATCCATATTATTTGTAAGCTCTGGGTCTATTCTTCATAGCTATAAACAAGACACCTTTCAAATGGGCAGCTTATTTAAAGTTTTATTCTTTATTTCAACCTCATTTACTATCAGAAGCCTACAGCTCACAGATAGGCCTTCCCTTAAAGGATTTTTTTCCAAAGATTGAATTATCAAAATTGCTAACACATTGTATACTAATGCCTGCACCTGATTAATAAGACTCACTGCCACTTTTTTAGCAGCTGCCCAAAGTATTCAAATTATTTTTCTTCGTGTGTCTAGGAGAACCTCGTTTTTTGACTCTAATTTTGATAAATGAAAATAATCCTCTCCTAATTGATTCTATTAAACATCTTTTAATCAGAAGCGTTTTCCAACAAGATTACTCCAACAACTATTGATATATAACTCTTCCCTACTATCTAAAATGAGCAGCTTTGCAGTAACTCTCTCAGGTTTTATTCCAGTACTTGAATTTAACTTTATAACGCAAAACCTAAAAATTAATTCCCCTTTATGGGTTAGTCGCTCAGTCGTATATGACTCGTTGGGACCCCCCCAGACAGTAGACCACCAGGCTTCTTTGTCCATGGGATTCTCCAAGCAAGAATACTGGAGTGGGTTGCCAGTCCCTTCTCCAGGGGATCTTCCCGACCCAGGGATCAAATCCAGATTGCCTGCATTGTAGGTTTCTTTACCAACTGAGTCCCCAGTTGTATGAATTTTCCAACCTCTTCAGATTTTTCCAGTTATCACTCACTGCCTATCACCATCCATCCACCTTTCAGCAAGCCAAAAGTCAGCATCATTATTATTACACTTAATTTGGGTAGAAAAATGTATTACCAAAGCCTACTTCCTATCTTCAAATAAAAACTTCCACATTAATTTCAAAACAAAAAGTTTTAATTTTCTCCTTTTCCTTTATTACACTAATATTAAACTTATGTCTACTTAATTTCCATGATTATCTCCATAACAAAAATACTAAAAAATAAAGATCAACCACCAACCACCACTAATCATAGCTATATCTGCATTTACTCCTATAGTATCTTCACTAAAAGTCCAGCATCTCCAGTATCATAAATTACTCAGTCTCCAATGCCACTAAAGTCAAAAAGCAATGCCATCACATTGTTTTTTATAACTCACAGAACTACTGAAACTTCAATTAATAAGCCCAAAAGAAACATTCCTAAAATGACAATAATAGAAACACAAACCTCAGGTTATTTTAGTAGCTATAGCTGCAGTATAACAAGAAGTCACCGATATTCCCTCTCTTTCTGTGCTTTCTGACAACTGGCGGTTGAAAAGTCAAGAGGCCTTAAGAAACAGGGGTTTAGGAAGAATACTAAGTTTAGAACTCTCCACCCATCTATCTATGCACCTGATTATCCATCCGTGAATCCATCCACCCATGCAACAACCTATCTGTCCATCTTTCCATCTATCCAACCCTCTTTAACAAATATTTATTGAGAATATACTATGGGTTCTCAGTAGGGATACAGAGGTGAATAAAGTAGAAATCAGATAAATCTGGGCTGATGTCATAACTCAGTCACTTAATACAACTGTGTTACCTTGTAAAATTTTGTGTTCTCTTGAGCTTCTGTCCTCATCTGTAAATTTGGGATTCTAACACTGCTTCACAGTGAAAAGGATTAGAAGAAATACTGGACTTATACAGAAAACAGCCCAGTGGCAAGAGCATCGTAGGTACCCCACAAACAGTAGTTTTGGCGATTCTGTGTCTCCCCAAAGACTCCTGCCTCCCATCCGACTGTCACACAGGACAGCACTTCGGCAAGATCGTCACCCATGGCAGCAACAAGGTCGTCTCCAACAACGTGTGCCTGGGCACACGGCTGAGGCCTGGTGAGAGCCGGGGGCACGTGTCAGGCTTACCGGTCCCTGAAGAGCAGGAGCTCCTTCCCCAGCATCGTCACAGCATCGAAGGATAAGTTGGAGTCACAGAGGTCGGGGATGGACGGATTATGAGGGGGGCCGTGGGGCGCGGTGGGCTTCCCTGGGAATGCTCTCCGAGGTCCTAGGATTCAAAGTGACTTGGTCAAAATGGTACCAGGAATGCAGTCTGTACACTTCTGCTCCAGGGACCCACTTCCATTGTATGTTACAAGGTCAATGACATGAGGACCTGGGTTTGAATCCTGGCTTCATTAGTTGCTCACTCCTACGATGGTGGTTCAGTCGCTAAGTCATGTCTGACTGTGGCAACCCCATGGACTGTGGCCTGCTAGGCTAATTGGTCCATGGGATTCTCCAGGCAAGAATACTGGAGTGGGTTGCCATTTCATTCTCCAGGGGATCTTCCCAACCCAGGAATCAAACCCAGGTCACCTGCATTGCAGGCAGATTCTTTACCAACTGAGCTACGAGGGAGGACTTGTGTGATTCAGATGAATAATTTAATCTCTCTAAGCTTCCGTTTCCTCATAGTAAAATGGGGGAAGGCAATAAAGGTACCTATCTCAGAAGGTTTCTGTGAGAATTAAATAGTGCCTTAAAAGCACTTAGTGGGGTGTTTGACACATAACAAAATTTCCAAAAAATAGCTGCTATTATTTTATTATTAAGCAAATTTCTTTGATAGCTATGGGTGTTTCAGATTAGGAATCTATTTTGAAAATTTCCTTTGTGTTTTTTTTGTTTGTTTGTTATTAAGTACTCTTATTTTCAATAAGATTATATCTTTCTTGTGTGTTTTCTTCTTATTTTTGAACAGCTTCTGGGTATCCTGTCCTGTGCATAAGCCTTTTCTTACGTGTCCAGGAGAGGCTGAGCAAATTCTTGGGGCCCTGAAGTACCATGGAAGTGTCTACCATTTAATGGCATCTACTGGTAGATCCTCTTGGAAGAAGTACCACGGAAGTGTTTACCATTTAAAGGTACCTTCTGGTAGATCCTCTTGGAACACAGGACCTGGCCCTTGGGGGAAATGCTGTTGAGTTTTCCTGAGACAGTCCTCAGGAACAGTCTGCCAACTACAGAGGAGTGAGCTGGGGCTGCCTAGGTCACTGGTCCTGGCAGCTCCCTCTGCTGAATCGAGTCTTGTTACCATAGCTGGGGATCAGGGAAGGAGTGAGGCCAGGGGTGAGGTGGGTAAGACCCGGGTGGAGAAAGGTCAGCAATAGGATGAAGATCAGAGGTTGGGGTGAGGCTTTGGGAAAAGATCAGAAAGTGGAAACTGGTCAGATCAGAAACACGCTGCCGTGTTTTGAACACTTACTCATCCTCCAAGCACTCTGCTGAAGCTCAGGGTGGTAAGGTGGTTAGCAGTAGGTGAGGCTTGTGCTTCTCGGTGATATAAAACCATGTTTATGTACTTTGTTCACTTGCAGAAAAATGGCCTTGTCAAAACATAAACTTCATCTCTTGGCTGAGGAACAGTGACTGTCAGAATGACGGTGACGCTCCAGGGCACAAAGACCCATGAAGGGTAGGCACAGATCTGGAGTGGGTTCTTCTTGGGGGTCACAGGAGAAGAGCATGACTACCCACTCCGGTGTTCTCATCTGGAGAATTCCGTGGACAGAGGCCACAGTCCATGGGGTCACAAAGAGTCGCACATGACTTAGTGACTGAGCACGCACTCCTTGATGGCCATAGGAAGGGTTTTGCACTGGAGCCCTAGCTTGTTATATGGAGAGATACGCAGGTTTGTTTTTTTTTTTTCCTGTCACTCAAGAGAGAAGCAGAACTGGCATAGACCCCCCTCTGAAGGGATATACCTGGCTGAACACTTCTTAGGATGAAATTTGTCTTTTATGTGCCTCAGGTGAGATCTGACTGCAGCTGTGTGTACCTACGTCTACAATAGATGGACAGGCCAGATGCAGGAAGGCAGGAGGAGCTGGGTTCTGTAGGCCCTTCTCTAGGCTGAGAGAGAAAAAAGTGCCTACAAGTAAAGGCTGAATGAGCAGGTTCTGAGGCTTACAGGAAAGACAGCGTCCTAGATTTTTCAGCTTTTTACCCATCAAACAAACAAAATGTCAAGGTCTAGTGATGTTTCAAGATTTCTTCTCATGGATTAATGGACTTGTCTTTATGTTCAGGAAAATGGGATATAAAGTTCCTAATAATCCTTTATCACCTTTAAAAGAATGGTAACATTTCAGATAATTTTGGATATTTTGGGATAGTTACTGTCTTTGAGCCTCAGCTTTCTCAACTATAAAAGGCACAAAACATTTTACATCCCTCAGGGTGGTGATGAGGATGGTATGTGATGACTCCTGTGAACATGATTTGTAAACTGCAGATCGGCTATATGACTCAATGGCACAGTTATTGCCATCATTATTACTATTTTTAGGAAGATAAGGTCCATTCTCTTCTCCAGAGGATCTTCCTGATCCAGGGCTCAAACCTGGATCTCCCGCAGATTCTTTATTGTCTGAGCCACCAGGGAAGCCCTGAGACAAGGTCACGTATTTGCAAATGAATAAGCACTATATATATATGAGCTGTAAAAAAAAATCCATCCTCTTCCAACATCTAACCCCTGATCAACACTCAAAATACACACAAATGATTGTATTTTCTATGGCCATTGAGGGACCAATATGCTCGGAGGAAAGATGTAAAATTTAAATATTCATCTTACAAAAGAAAGCAATACTCATATATGGGAAGTAAGTTCTTCCTAAGAGGGGATATTTGGGGCTGTGGTTTCTAGCTTAATTTTCACCTATGCAGGTTAATGTCTGGCAGAGTACACTTTGCTGTGAGACCAAATGCCTGTCACTTTCAGGGTCTGTAGTCAAAGAAGTGTATCAGTTGTACCGTACAGTGCCTGGATCCCCTTCACGTCATCCTTGGGGAGATGGAACCCATAGGGATTCTGATACTTATAAGTTGGGTACATCAGTGCTGACGGGTCTGTGGAATGGGCCAGGCCCAGTGCATGGCCAAACTCATGAGCAGCAACGGTGAATAAATTGAAACCTAGATGATGTGAGAGAGGAAAAGACAGCATCAACACAGAGTTTTATTTTCACTATTTCCTGTCTTCACAGGAGAATTTATGCCAAATCAGTTTGTTCATTTTCTTTTCAGAACTGGGTTATTATAATGTTGGCAGGGTGTTCTGGCACTTAGCTTTGCTGACTTTAGCCTAGTTCTTCCCCCCTTGGTTAGGAGGGGCTTGGGGTAGGGGACGATGGAAATGTAAATCCATGCATTTTGTTCATGGTCAATGGTGCTCCGTAAAGAAGGACTTCAGCACTAACAGTGGCAGTAACACCGAGATTTAGTCCGTGCATGCTTCACTGGTTCCCTGTCTGCTCTCTGTTATCCACCCATGTTTCACACTGGAGGTTTCCAGATGACATGCATGATGTTCTAGAAATTTTAACCCATCCCCATTGCATCTCTCAGTAAAGTGTTAATTCTTTTCAGGTCATTTCTGAATGTGACCTATTTCCAAGTACAAATAAGAAACAAAAAAATACTACATAGTTGAAGAAAAAATACTGCTGTGTGTTGAGTAGGGGATTGCTGTTTCTCGAGATTATACCCTGAGAACCAGAGATCAGACAAATCTACAGCACAATTGAGGATGGGTCTTTTCCCTTATGGTGTTCCCTTTTGGATTTTTGGCTTACTTGTTTTTCCTAGCCAGCCTCCCTAGTTAAAGGGTGGCTTGGGACGTTGAACCTCAAGGTTTCATGATGGAGGCCCAGAAGAAGGTACAATATTTTCCAGGTTATGGTGAATTGTGCATATATACCATTCGTTCCCATAGTCCACTTCTCAGCATTGTCGAAATGTGTATCTCCTCCCAGGCCTTCTCCAGGTGCAAATGCATGGGCTAGAGTCCCTCGAGGCCCATCGAATGGATAGGAATCCCCGTGATCTAGACATATGGGGAGAAATGCCAGCAGGATTTAGTCTTTCTAGCAAATTTTAAGGGGTACATAACATCACAGGGAATGGACAACTTTTTGAGTAGCACTGACATTTCTCATACAAATAGATTTACTTTTCAATATTCATTTTTTTGTAAGAGAAATCTCACATGCCAATGAGTGATCTATTAAAATAATAAAAGCAATATTTTGTATTTTAAAGATAGTAAGCATTACAAATTTTGAAAAATGTTCTTTTGTTATTGTATTTGTTGCACTGTCTATTAATTGGCACAAGGCCTACTGTAGACTATGACCATGCTGCAGATTACAAAAGGAGAAAGGCAGATGGTTATTCAGCCACCATCTTGTCCACTCACTGGACTGTGAACATGTTGGCCAAGTGCTTTCAACGTATTATTTAGGGGGTGGCAGTGAGGGAGGAACAAATTAGGAGTTTAGGATTAACGTATACACATTACTATGTATAAAATAGGTAACTGAGAATGAACTACTGCATAGCACAGGAAACTATACTCAACATTTTTGAGTATAGTTTAGTAATAATAACCTATAAGGGAAAAAAATTCTGAAAAAGAATATATATATATATATATATATATATATATATATAAAACTGAATTACTTTGCTGTACAACTAAAACTAACAACATTGTATATAAAGTATATGTCAAAAAATTGCTAACAAAAAAACAAAACAAAAATATGATCTGGCTAAGACAATGATAGTAAATTGGACAAGCGTGTGCTTTCTGCTTGTATAGCCCAATATAATTTAAGGACGTGTCAAAAAAAGAAAGAAAATTTCTCTTTAATTTTGTTATAAATTTTGCATAAAACTCCTGAAAGCAACAGAAGTATTTATAAAATTACAGCTTTTAAAGCTTAATAGGCTTTTGTTTTAGTATCTATATTTACTTAAAAGTAAAGAATAAAAAAGGAGGAAGGATAAAATGAGGGATATTATAGAATACATTTCACAGATTTTCAGAATTTTTGTGAGAATACCTTGCTTTATTTAAAACCAACAAATCAAAGTTCTGGTGTACCCTTCCCCAAGTTTCAGGGCAGTGTTGTTTAATCAGTACATGCCCTGAGGTCCTGGTTAAACGGCAGCAGAGTGCCCAGTCCACTTGTTTTAGGGAACAGAGCACCAGCTTGGAAGATCAAGAGAGAGCCAGATGTTAGCCCCATCACCCCCAAAGCTGCGCCAAGCCACACGGCCCTGCCGCTTCCCCGGGGGGTAGCCTTGACCCTGCAGGAGGGGTGAGACCCACCATGGGCCAGGTCACCCCAGGGCCACCTCTCAAAGGCTCCAGCCCAGGACTTGCTTGATCCTCTCTCCCAGCTTCTACGCATGTCTCTCCCCAGTGACATCAGATTAAAATTAGGATAAAGACTTTAAAGAGGACACTTAGAAAGGTTGTCTGTGGAGGGAAAGAGGCAGGGATACTCACCTTGATTCTGAGAAAGCTGAGAGGGAAAGGACTTACACGGCCTTTCCTTCATTTACTACTAGACCTGTTTCTCTGAAACAGGGGCGAGTGAGGGATGGAGTGTGCAGGCTGGTGGCAGGCCTGGCAACTCCACAACAGGCGTCTGAAGCGTGGGCCAGACAGCAGTGACAGCCGCCCTCCTAACCGCCGCTGCCCGGGAAAGCTGCAGGAGCTCTGTGGGATTGACCCTCAGAGAGGATTCAGAGGGGGCAGATCCTCAGCTAACATGAAGGGGAGCGATGGACACCGTCATGGGGATGGGGTGAGGGCAGAGGGTCTCCCAGCCATCAAGAAGCTAAACCTGACAGAACTTGGCCCTGACGGGGCAATGTCATGGCGAAAATGGATTATGCTGAGGCTGTTCTGTAGCTCAGTCATGTGGACAACTCCCCAGCTCTATTTTCTGACTAGATAAAGGTCGTGACTTTGCCATGATCTCGGCCTCTGCCCCTCACAGCTCTGAGACTTGCTGCTCACATAGATTAAACATTGTACGAGGAAAAGTATTGAAATATTTTTCCTCTGGACTAAGACAAAATCCAGGAAGTACCACAGTACCTCCGGTTTCAAAAGAGATCATAATGTCTGCTTCGCCCGCGTTGACTCTGACAAAGTTCAGAGGGACGGCGCTGCTCCAGGCCCGCAGGGCCATCTCCATGGCTCTGTCCACTTCTGCAGGGGTCATGGAAGGGGTGTACTTGGATATTCTGTCAATACAGAAGCAACACATTTTCCTTTTAACAAGTTCTCCTAGTGAAGAAAGTGAGAATTACATCAAGTTCATATTGAAAATAAAAATAGTGAAATATAAATCTACAATTTAGAGATTTTTCTAAAAAATAATGATTTTTATTTTGCTTTCATCTTTATTACATTACTGAAACGTGCTAACATAAGAAAAATGAAGGGGTGAAAAAAAATTGAGATTTCTGATGCTGAAACAGTTTGACTTTTGTTGTTATTACACATCACTAATTGGAAAGAATAATACCTGTGTAACTTTGTGAGTAGCTAGAAGTCCGTTTTTCCTAAAGCGGTTTTAATTGAGAAGGGATCTTTTCCCCCTAAAGGGACCAAAATGTTTCAACTGTAAAAAGTAAAGACAAAGGGTTTTGAGGTTTTGTAAATTCTTATTCAAAGACAAGAAGGTTTTCCACAGGGCCAAGGGGGAATGTTTTTTCTTAAAATAATGTACATCTTAAAGAGGAAGTGGTGGCTTGTCACAAGGATGCTCACTTGGGCTGAAAAAAGCTCAAGTCTTTCTTTCATCAAGTCCTGCTCTGACAATGATCTTGGAAGGCATAGAAGGATAGAGCATTTTGGATACAGTGGGTAGAGACCGTTGGTGTTTTTCTAGGATGTGCCACTCTGGCACCCAGGGGCTGGGGATTCTAAGCTGCCATAAAGGAAGGGCGAAAGAAAGGAACTGCAACCTGGGACCTTGGGCTCAGTTGAGTAGTGGGTGCAGAGTTAGAAGCGAATTCTGTAAATGCCCACCTTGAGAGCCAGACACACAGTCTACTTCTCCAGGTTCTAGCCCTGGCCCTTGCCCATGGTAGGTGCTTAACAAACACTTGCTAAATGGATGAACTAATGAATAAAGCTAGTGTTTTTTAGGGCCTACTCAGTTGTTCTCAAAGTTTAGGACCTGTGATAACAATTCAGAAAACTTGTTAAACACACAAGCGTGATCAAGAAATCTGCATTTTAATAAGTGTCCCATGCTATTCTGATGCAGGAGATGCAGTCTCAGCCAGAAATCAATAGTGGTTGTCCCGGAGGCCCCAGAGGAGGGGACCATGTCCCACAGAGAGGAAGGGAAATAGCTAAACCCAGCAACTGAGAGGGAAGGAATAAGATCTCTCACTTCAGGAACTGGGTCCAAGAGGAGGGAGCTAGAGTGTCCAGAGTGGGAACGGGACTCTTAAAGGGACCAGTTAGTGTTTTCCGAATTTGCTGCTCCCACTACATAACATGTATCTGTGCTTTGTCATGGCTATGTATAGTCAGCATCCCCAATTCTCTCATATTGTAGATAAGTTATCCATCCCCACATAGCGGCCTGTGTGTGTTGGGCTGGAGAAAACAGGCATGGAGAAGGGATGCACCAGAAAGGAAGAGCAGGTGGACAGAGGTCCTCACCCAGAGGGTCTAGAGATCGATACAGTAGCAGTGATGACAGCTGACGTTCTGGGTACACACGCTAAGGGCTGGACCCGGTTCCAGGCACTTTTCAATGTGGTACACCCGCTAACCCTCACAGCCGCCTTCAGAGGTGATAGTATCACTCTATGTTTCATGACTAGTCAGGAACTGAGCCCAGTTCTTTATGGCTCCAAAGTTTATGCACATAGGCACTAAGGTATATTTATCTATTTCAGTCCTCTGCATGCTAAGTCACTTCAGTCGTGTCCGACTCTGTGTGACCCCATGAACTGTAGCCCACCAGGTGCCTCTGTCCATGGGATTCTCCAGGCAAGAACACTGGAGTGGGTTGCCATGCCCTCCTCCAGGGGATCGTCCCGACTTAGGGATTGGACTCCCATCTCTTATGTCTACCTGCTTTGTCTGGAGGCTTCTCTACCACTGCCACCACCTGGGAAGCCCTTTCAGTTCTCTGCGTGTGTGTTAGTTGCTCAGTCCTGTCCGACTCTTTGCGACCCGACGAACTATAGCCCGCCAGGCTCCTCTGTCCGTGGAAATCTCCAGGCAAGAACACTGGAGTGGACTGCTGTTCCCTTCCTCCAAACGATCTTCCTGACCCAGGGATTGAATCCTGGTCTGCATCGCAGGCAGATTCTTTACCGTTTGAGCTACAGGGAAGTCCTTTCAGTCCTCTGGGCTATGTTAAAAGAAGTTATTCTGAGATCCAGTAGCTACACAGAGTGCTAAGGTAGTCTCTATTCCTTTTTTTTGGAGAAGGGGAGCGGAGGAGAAGGAGAGTTGTTCAGGACGAAGTGGACGGTCAGTGTGGGTGTGTTGAGGGGTTTTGGGGAGTGCCCAAAGAATATTACCACAAGAACACTATACTTCAAATCCCAAGTTAGCTTGATCTATCCCCTTGTCTTTGCCGTGTGTAATCACGGACTACGGCTTCCCAGGTGGCGCTAGTGGTCAAGAGCCCACCAGCCAATGCAGGAGACAAAAGAGAAGTGCCTTTGATCCCTGCATCGAGAGGATCCCCTGGAGAAGGGTGTGGCAACCAGTATTCTCACTTGGAGAATCCCATGGATGGAGGAACCTAACGGGCTACAGTCCATGGGGTTGCAAGGAGTCGGACACAACTGAAGTGATATAGCACAAACGTAATCACAAACTACGTGCTCAGAAATGTTTAGGAAATGTTTACACAGTTTAGGAAATGTTTAGGAAAGTTTACACAGTTTAGGAAAACTTCCTATGACACAGTTTAGGAGATGATGGGAAAGACTTCACGAGTTTATATAAAAATTTCCTCTCTTACCTCGTAATCTCTTGGGCGTTCAGTTTCTTTTAGGTGTTTTTTTCCCCCCAAGAAAGATCTTTGAGGCATTCTTACAATGAAGCAGAGACTAATAGCTGTATCCAGAGTGCCACCTTATGGACTCAAAGGCTCATAGCAGCTAACAAGTGGCCTAGAGGAATCATCTGATCTCTGCTTGGCTTTGGGCTCTCAGCTGTCACAAGGAGTCACCGGAGTGCTGGGACAGCTTAACAGCTAGTTCTGTAGCTACCCCCCTCCCCTCGCAGGCTTTGCTGATTACAGTATTGGAAACACTCTTCAGCAACCAACCTGCCAGCGAAGGTCAAGTTGGGAAGAGATGAGCCGCGGCAGATTGCTTCATCACACAGATAAGAGCTGTATCTCACCTCCTGAACATCGATAACAGTAAAATGCACTATAATAATTAGGAAGCACCACGGCCGGGCTCTCGGAGGTGGACCGAGCGGGGAAGGAAGCCAGCACTGGGCCCGCAAATGGATGCGGGCTGCGGGGCTGGAGCGCAGGCCTGAGATACCAGAGCGCAGGCCTGAGATACCAGAGCACAGCGCGGGGGTCGGCTCGGGCTGGGTGAGTCCCCTTGGGTGATGCACAGTCCTTGTTCCCCCCGGGGCAGGACGAAACCGGAGGATGGCCCCGGGGGCTGGGCTCATGTGTGGGAGCCGCGGAGGATGAGGCGGAAACGCGGGAGCCGGGGCCTCGGGGCGGCCAGCTCCCGCGTGGCCTTCGGGTCAGGCGCGGATGTCTCGGGCCATCCCTGGGAGACCTGGTAGCTCCTCCACATGCTGCCGCAGCTCTCAGCTTAGACTTGTGGTTTCCCATCTCTCACCTGGAGCTGCGGCTATTTGCTTGTATTTCTCCCCAAAAGGCGAGGGAAAATGATGTACTTACCTTTATCTCCGAAAGTGAATGCCTATGGCAGACATTTAATAAATTGCAAATAAATTATTTCTGGAATTAATAATAATTAATTTCTTAGTTCTAATTTAGAATATTGTTTTAAGAAAACTGGTTGGTACCATCAGGTTATTAATCTTAGACAAGATTCTTTTACTTTATGGAAAAATGTGTTGTCTCTAAACTGGTAAAATTGTCATACCTAAAATGGCCACTCATTACGACAATCTTGAGGTAACGTTTTCTTGTGAATTCTCCATTGTCTAAAGAATAGACCAAAAAAGTTCTCATTCTCTCTTATGATTGGGGCGAGTCATGATTTTTATACACAACAGAAGGAAGATATTTTTAAAAGAAAAGAAGGAGAGGGAGGCTATTTCTCTGTGAATTTGGAAAGACTCGATCTCATTACCTGTATGTCAAAGTATTTTTTTTCCATTTGGGTTCACCTGGGAAGAGGCGATAGTTGGCCACATCAGGAACTCCGCAGCGAGGCCTCTTGATCACGTCCATGGTAGCTCGGTCTAACTTCCCGGTGACTCGGAGGCCGAAGAACGCCTGCAGCTCCTTAATCTTTTTAACCGTGGAATTGCCTCCTCTTGCAACCATCTCCCCAATCTGGGGCCCTCCTTTTTTTGTGTAATACTTGTCAAGGTACGCCTGAAACGGAGAGGCAGGCTGACGTCTACAGCACAAGCTCTGAGCAACACTCATGCTCAGGTAAGACAGAACAGTATTCTTGTTACGCTAAAGACAGTGTGCACAGCATTTGCCACTTTTGAAAAAAAATTAGATATATTTGCATAGATAAAGCTTAGATACATAAGTCCAAGTTATTAACAACAATTATCTTTGGGAGGTGGGATTTTAGATTTTTTTATTTGCATGCATTTCGTGGTTTTTCTACAATGAACTGCTATTTTAAGAGAAAAAAAATTAGAAAGAAAATAATGTGAACATTTTCTCCACAGCCCATTTATTTGTATTGAAGTCTTTACCAGTTTGCAAAATAAAGACTATCCTATTTCTCTGTAAGCAACTATTAGAGTCGCCTTTTCATTATACACTGTGCAAGATTAGTATGTTCTTAACTCTGTGAGGCCTCATATTATGTGAAAGTAATAGGTGTCAATCTGTTTTCTGGCTGAGATGTTTAAATAATTCAGGTGTGTTCAATATGTGGGGTGTTTTTCAATGGGCAGGTTTTCTAGGACTGACTGTCCCTTGAAGCAAATAGTAGAAAATTAGTCATAAATATAATGTTTTCATTTGCATTTAAAGGCTTAAAACCCCTAATATATCACTCAAAACACTCTATGACTTCTCGGGTGAAGTGAATAACGTAGTCATGCAAAGGCAGGTTTAGTGCCTGCTGTTGTCCTAGGAATTTCATCCACCAAACTTGATATATCACTCAAAACACTCTATGACTTCTCGGGTGAAGTGAATAACGTAGTCATGCAAAGGCAGGTTTAGTGCCTGCTGTTGTCCTAGGAATTTCATCCACCAAACTTGTTTCAGGAAAACAGAAAGCCGCTAAAGATTTATACCTGCATTTTATTAAACATAAATGTTTAAATTATATGTTATAGGGTGTTTGTTGTATATAAATAATATTTGTATATCATATGAACTATATTCAGAAACCATGTGTTTTATTATATTCTATATAAACTATGTGTATTATTCATTTCTGTTAAATATATTTATGTATAAATAATAAAATTTTGGAAGTAATCTTAATATCTAATAGGGAATGTGTTAGATACATTATTATATATTGATATGAAGTAATACTAGGCCCTGCTAACATCACATTTTTGAAAAATATTTAGTGGCATGTATAATGATTCAGTATAATGGCAATACACTGAGAAAAGCAGAAGTGAAACCTTTATACAGATTATAATCACAATTTCATACATAAACCAAATCATATGACGTATATGTATTATGTTCATGTTTATTATATCTGTATGTTAATATATCAATAATAATGTTAGCATGTATATTAACATTTAAAGTTAACACACTAGTCAATGCATTGGTAATTAGCACATATATAATTTATTAATATAGTGAACATAAGTAACATAAATAATGGAAGGAAATATATCTGAATATTAATCTTGCTTATCTCTGGGTTGTAAAATTATGGGTGACAATTTGTCTTTATCCTTTCCTATATCCCAAAGATTTGGTATCAACATAAGCTGTAATTGTTAAGCAAAAAGTGAAAAGGAGTAAGACTCACTTGTTTAGATAAGGTGCTGTGTGTCCTTACTGTGTCCTTACTGTGGACTCAACCAGCCCTTAGTCTTTGGCCTGCTTGTGAGCAGACCTCACTTCCCTGGTGGTTGTTCTTTGTAAAATCTTAGTGAGATGAGAACTCAAGAGGAGAAAAAGGGTAAGGGAGCCCTGAAACACAGGAGAGGTGCCCTGAAACAGAGGTGTGACTATTTGCTTTCATTTCCATGTCTCATTAAGCGATCTGATATACGCATTTATGTTTCTGATTCTTTTGGCAAGATGATAGTGATTCTCTGAGCTATTCTGTTTGCTCAAGCGGATGCTGCAGTCATACAACGCTCATAGTCTGAACTACAGCCTTTAGAGGTGAGCTCTGTGTGGAGCTCTGTGCTCCATATATTCTGTGGCTGTTTAAATTTCAAATATTTTGTTTCCTGTTAGGTTACATGTTATAGTTACACTCTAAACTCTAGTTTTGATTTCACAAAATATGGTCCCATAAGAAGATGCTTTGGCCACCTGCTGCAAAGAACTGACTCATTTGAAAGGACCTTGATGCTGGGAAAGATTGAAAGCAGGAGAAGGGGCTGACAGAGGATGAGATGGTTGGATGGCATCACTGACTCAATGGACATGGGTTTGAATAAACTCCGGGAATTGATGATGGACAGGGAGGCCTGGTGTGCTGTAGTCCATGGGGTCGCGAAGAGTCAGACATGACTGAGTGACTGAACTGAACTGAAGAAGATGCTTAATATGCATTAAATGAAAAGAGATTTATCACTATTATTATTATAGTACAAGCCAAGTTTGTAAATAGAAATGTGTGCACATGAATACACACAGATATACAGTGATAAACTAGGATGAGGTGAGGAAGTGGGGGGGGGGGTTGCCAAAAACACAGTGATCCAGAAACATAATATCAAATGCAATATGTTTGGAAAAAACTTAAATTAAGGCAAAAAAAATTCATGGTGGAAAAAAAATTAAAATTTTAAATAAAGATAGGATCCAACCTTCAGTGACAGTCCTTCATCCTAGTCCCAGCCCCAAGTCATAGAAACTATTTCAAAAAATATAAACTAAGGGATTAACAGTTCTTATATGTTGGTGATGGAATTAAGAATAATACTTTTAAAATCATATATGTTTTATATATATGTTTGTTATGAACCTATAAAATTCTTAGAATAAAATGGTTCTTCTTCAAAATGCGCATAAGAGGCTAGGCCTGCAGCTCAAGAAGTTTAAGGCCAGTGATAGTAAATAGGATGCAAACCATCTTCAGTGAAGTAAAGGTAGAATCAGTAATGATTTCTCCTTAGAGCACGAGGACTGGTTGCTGCGGTGATCGGATGAGCTGCTCCCCTCTGGGTGCTCCCGCGGGACACGGCTCTTACTGGATGGAGCACCGGCCGCCGTGCACACGGTCCATGGCCTTCTCCTCACTCCCACTCGGGGGTCTCACGGTACTCCCTGCTGGGCATGATGATGCCTTCACAGTTATGGCCATGGCCTGACCCAGTTCCAGACACAGGGTGGATGTTCAGTTACCATTTGAGCTCTTATTCTTTAGGCAGAATATAGCAAATGTGCTTCTTTGAAGAATTATCAGATGTTCTGTGGTACAGAGAGGCCAATATTTTCTGTGCACTTTATTGCTAAAATTACCGACGAGGTTTTAGCATGCTTTCCAGAGTCAAAATGTTCAGTTAGGCACAAAGGTGCTCACCTAGAACTGTGCATTCTGTTCTAACACTTGTGTGCTGTTGGCTCAGCTCTTGGTTGTGGGATCAGCTGGGTCAAGGATTTCAGCCTCCCCAGAACTCTCCTACGTGCCTCCACCTCTTCATCCTCACTGGGAAAACCACAGGAGTCTGTCGCTGGTGTTTGGGTGATCCTCTTTCCAGCGATAAGAATAGCAGAGGCCTGGAGAGCAGGCCCAGAAGCTCGTATCCCGCCCAGCTCTTACTGAGTGTGCCTTCCGAGTGTCCCTCCTGGGAGGAGTGAGCTTAAAGCTCAGATTTAAGTGCTCCTCAAGAGAAGATAAACTTCAAGATACGATTTCTTCAACATTTCTTTCTGTTTTGGCAAAGTCACAGAAATGGAACTGTGTGAATTTTCAGCATGATAAATCCTAGGTTCTAAAAAGTGTGGGCAATTCCTGTAATTTCTTTTTTTATCAGTTTTCTCATCTATGAGATGGGGTCGGTGTCTATCCTTCCCACACCAAGGTGAGGATCCAATGAGTTGCTCAGTGTGAAAATGCTTTGAAATGTATCGAAAGACCTTAACATGTTCCTACCCTTTTACTCACTAATTCCACTTCTGGAAATCTATCCTGAAAAAGTAATCTGTTAGATTAAGCTAATGTACAAAGATGTTCACAGAAATCTTATTCATGTGGAAATATTCCATGTATCCAAGAATATAAATGGGACAAACTATAGCTCACTTATTTTCTGAAATATTTGTCAGTTTTAAACATGATATTTATGAACATATAAACATAAAAGTTTATTATGATATAATAATAAAAAAGGAAGGAACCAAAATTTGAGTATAATGATGATTTAAAAATATATTTATGCACAGAAAGTAAAAGGGTAGTAAAGGCCCCTGAATTTAACAATTTGTATTCGGAAGATTTTTTATTTTTATTTTTTCAATTTTAAGTTCATAATAATGTGATAGTAAAAGCTTCTATTATTTTAAGGACAACTTAACAGCCTGTATTAAATGTCATATTGATATTACTATTTAAAAACAAACAAACAATAGGCTAAAACTCTGGATGATGAGACTAATTATTTCATTTTCCAAGCCTTTTGATAATTAGCCAATAAGAATTGAAAAGATACAAGTGAGCATGAAATGAATCAATTAAAAATCTGTTTATCTTTTCAAGAACAGACTATCTGTTCCTGGGTGGAGGAAGTGAATACACTTGGAAACACTTCCTGCCTGGAGTTCCCAGGCACAGGAAACCATTTGCCCTCTCTTGGTGAGCGATCGAGAGAGAAGCGAGCAGGGTGTGGTGCTTAGCCCGGCCTGGGCTCCCAGGCCCCGCTGTGTGCTGGCCTGACTCTGGACTCGGCGGTGTCCTCCTGCCATCTGGCCTGCTGCCCCAGGCTGCTGCACTCACTCTTTCCTCCGCCTGGACAGCTCTGTCTCCAGATCTTCACACGACCAAGAAGTTCAGGTCCACATCGTTCTTTACAGAGTTCAGGTTCACTGCAAATGTCCCTTCCTCAGAGAAGCCTTCCTGGACTACTCCCCCTCCCCCTCCAGGGCCCTAGTAACTCTCTATCATCCTGGTAAATTTATTTTTTAACATCACATGGACACTTATCGATTGCCTGGTTTGTCTCCTCCCAGCCCTTCCCACTCCTCCGTCACCCCCATGTCAGTGCTGGAAGAACAGGAACTTTACTTGTTTTGTTCACTGATGTTTCTCCAGTGCTTAGGACATACCTTGGCACATAGCATATAGTAAGTGAAAGGGTGAAAGTGAAAGTCGCTCAGTCATATCCGACTCTTTGAGACCCCATGGACTATATAGTCCATGGAGTTCTCCAGGCCAGAATACTGGAGTGGATACTCTTTCCTTTCTCAATGGGATCTTCCCAACCCAGGGATCAAACCCAGGTCTCCCGCATTGCAGGGGGATTCTTTACCAGCTTAGCCATCCCTTCTCCAGTGGATCTTCCCGACCAGGAATCGAACTGGGGTCTCCTGCATTGCAGGTGGATTCTTTTACCAACTGAGCTATCAGGGAAGCCATTCAATACATAATTGCTAAATGAATAAACTTATGCTGTTTTATGAAATAGTCTATTTTCATGTTGTTTCATTTGTTGTATTGTTGCCTGAGTTGTTAGCTATTTCTTTAAACTATAAGGTGGGACAGTAATTCTTTTTAGTCATTGGGATGCACTTGGGAGGCTTGGCTAGATCATACCAGCCTGCTGAAGAGTGATACCCTTTCTTGCCCAGAGCTGATGCCTAGGGCCACTGCAGGCAGGAGAAGGCCTGTTTGCCAGGTGTCAACAAGTTTCCTTGCTCTTTGGTCGAAGGTCTTTCCAAGTATGCCGTGAGGGAGACTGCAGGGGGCTGACTTGCTTTGGAGAGGAAGGATAAGGGGTCACTGTGAAAGTGACAGTGTCAGTTGCTCACTCATGTTTGACTCTTTGCGACCCCATGGACGGTAGCCCGCCACGCTGCTCTGTCCAAGGGATCTCCCAGGCAAGAATACTGGAGTGGGTTGCCATTCCCTTCTCTGACCCAGAGATCGAACCCAGGTCTCCCACATTGCAGGCGGATTCTTTACCATGTGAGTCACCAGAGAAGCCCCAGGGAGTCACTAGAGATCCCTAACGTTCCAAGAACACTTAATTCTTTCCCAATACCCTTAGCAAGGATAGATTTATTCCAAGGCTCACTGACCTTATTCCTGCATAGACCACTATGGGGTCAGTTAACTGTTTTCTGAAAGTCCAATAATTAATATTTTTGTTTCATCACGTGATTTCCACCATTGTGGTACAAATGGAGTAGAAGATATGTAAACAAACAAGGGTGGCTGATTTGGGCCCCATGACCATAGCTTGTCTAAACCCGGACAAAACCATGATTTTTCAGCCACCAGATCAGTTCTAATCTCAGCATGACACTCCTTCTGGAGAGCCCAAAGACTAGTTGTCTGAATCAGAGTGGCATGAAACTGGGTAAGTGACAATTACATGTCAGGAGAAGGGAGACAAAGCCTGGTGGCAAAATACCATTGGAAATAGACCCAGTTAGTATTCTGAGATATGTTACTTAGAATTTAGTTCGTCTGAAAGTGGTTTCAAGTCAAAGAACGTTCAGCTCAACAGGTCCGTACTCGGCATCCACTGTGCTGTTTATATGGAGGGCTGATATTCAAAACGTTGAACGACCGGTGGGCAGGGGGACTGATCAGTTAGAAAGGAAGAGCATGGCATGAGCATCAGGAGGGACACGCGGTGTATACAGAAGATCGGCTCTGCAAAGCTGCCCACGAGTGTAGCCTGGCAGGTGGGAAAGCAGTCCCCAGCAGGGCTGCGATCACAAGTGTGCTGTCTTTGTGACAGATACACAAAACAGAGGCCCTAGTGCAAAAAGTCTCACTACACACCTTTCACTAATGTTGGAAATTCCTCCATCGAAGATTTATTTCTTTAGGCTAAATTTTGCTGCCTTTTCTCTAAATGTGTAAAAAAAAAAAAAAAGCAAAAAATCCCTTCCCCCCCGCCCCCCCTCAAAAAACTCCCCAAACAGTTGGAAGCAAATATACATTGAATCACTTTGAGTCACTCTTAGTCTTTGAAGGAATTCTGGTATGCTGAATGAATTATTTGTATTAGATCCTTGCCAACAGTCACTTGGGGGAGATTTTAAAAGAGAAAGGTACAGAAAGTGTAAGTAAATAAGGGACTTTGGGAATATGCTTTAGAGAGGAAAGACCTTGGTAGAAGTGGGTTGGGATCCAAGAAAAATTTGGTTCACTCCAAATTTTGATCAAATTTGCCCTGAGTATAAGAGCTGTTTTTCTGAAAAGTGAACACAGGAAATCTTTCTGTTGTGACTGTTAGGAATTTTAGCGCTAAATTTGCAATCCACCTCTACTGTGCAAATCTTACACTTTGTTTTTTATTTTTCTTCCCTTAGTTTTCCTTCTATGTTGTTTCCCAAACACTTCTTTTGTCTTTCTGTAATGCCTGTATTTTTGCAAGCCCCCTCAAATTCTGTGTGCAGCAAAATACCTGGATAGATATTCAGACACTCAGCGTGTACTAGACACCAGTCTTAGCTGTACAGGGAATCATATCCATCAGACTTCAGTGGACTTAGAAGACGATTTCAAAACCATAACAGATTTTCATGCTTTTCTTATTATCCCCTTTAGATTTTCTGGGGCTGGAGGGGGAAGAGGGAATTGTGCAAAGATTCACAAACCTGTGCAAGGTGGTAGTTGTTCCTTGAGGTCCTGGGGGAGGCCGTGAGCAGGGAGGGGGCTGCGGTGGAAAACTTCAGAGCGGTGACGAGGAGGACAGCAAGGCCAGATGCAGGGAGCACCTTCATCTCCTCTTGGTGGATGGGTAATTATAGCAACCCTGGGGGATGCGAGACAGTGCATGTTTGCACTTCAACCTTGAGCTGCTTTTATAGAGTCAAACAGGTCTGGGCCTCAGAGTAAGGATGATTCATGTCTCAAAAGGTAATTATACAGCTCCTTTCTCCCCTGATGACGGGGTAACACAGTAGGACACAGGAGTCAGGGAAAGCTTCATTCTTTGCCATTTATCAAGTGGCAATAGGAGGAAAAACAGTCACTTTTAACGCAGCTTGTCAGCTATTAATAATTCCACGAATTGCAGTAAACATGATTAATCTGAACCCATCTCAGTTGAAACCTTTGATAAGTCTCAGTTTGAGGACTTGTCCATTCTACTTGCAGGCAAGGTAAATAAATAGAATATACTTTAATTTGTCCTTAGTAATTCTGGGCTCCCCACACGCTCACCCCAATCACCTTCTGCATCCACTTGGACGTTTCTCAGAAACGAATGCTGCTTATAATGATGGTGCTGGGACACGTAAGATCCTGAGTCATCAAGGAAACAGTACATTATTCTGTGCTGACTTAGGGTGCAAGGTACACTGGTAACGTTAGAAAGCTTTTGAATAAGTTAGCGCAAGAGAGATGTTCTTTGTTAACTGAGACATTAAATTCTGCCTTCTCTGTGCACTCTGGTTAACTAGAGTCATACTCTTGTTCCTGGCTCTGATTTAGATGGATCTTGACTAAGAAAATGCAGAAATGCATGCAGAAATGGTGCAAAATCACTTTGGCATCAAACAAACTGAGATTGAATTTTAAGATACTTTCTAGTTGTGTGATTTTGGACAAGTTATGTAACCTCTGAACATCAATTTGTTTAAATCTGCAAAAGACTAACAGTAATACTGTGTGCAAGCTCATCACATTACAGAGATAGCATAGCATGTAGCATGATGTCTGTGGGCACCACTTGCATCCAGTAGACCTGGGTTCAAATGCTAGTTCTGACACTTGTCCATATGACTTTGAGCAGGTTACTTAATCTTTCTCAGCTATGAAACTTTTCCTGAAAAAATGGGGGAAAAGGTGCCTACTTTGAAGAATTATTATAAAGGAGTAAATCAGGTCATAACAAAGCAGAGTGCTCAGTAGACATCAGCTTTTACAAAATAATGTTCAATTTATCTTTTTACTTTGATCCCAGGCACCGGGTAGGCTTTTAATTAATGTTCTTTGAATAGATGTGCTGTTATTTAGTTGCTCAGTGGTATCCAACTCTTTGTGATGCCCTGGACAGCAGCATGCCAGGTCCCCTGTCCATCACCAACTCCCAGAGCTCGCTCATATATCCATTGAGCCAATGATGGCGTCCAACCATCTCATCCTCTGTCACTCCCTTCTCCTCCTGCCCTCAGTCTTTCCTAGCATCACGGTCCTCTCCAAGGAGTCAGCTCTTCACATCAGGTAGCCAAAGTATTGGAGCTTCAACTTCAGCATGAGTCCTCCCAGTGACTATTCAGGGTGGATTTCCTTTAGGATTGCCTGGTTTGACTGATGGATACATGAATGACTCAGTCAACGAATTACTAGGAAACTTGTTGGAAATGTAAATTCTCAGGCCCCACCCAGAAGTACTAAGTCAGAAACTCTGGGACTGGGGCCTAGGAGATATGTTTTAACAAGCTGTGCAGGTTATTCTGATGCATGCTTGGAAAACCACTGGAGTAATTGAGTGAACAGGATTATGAAATGAACAAGATACACAAAATGCCAAAAACATCCCTGGTCACAGAAAGTATTCAGTATCGCCCTTGCCGTCTGCAACAGTGTGGCATTTCTGGTATTTAAAGTCATTTGTGAAGCCTGTTGCAAATAATTAACACTAATATTTGTTAGGTGATAAAAACATGTGAATGTCTTAGTTAGATATTAGAATAACTATGATTAGATTCAAGCCTACTCCTAGGTGATCTCTCTCTTGCTCTGTTGCATGGTTATATACTTTCCTACATGAAGAGAAAATAGTGGAGTTACAGGCCATGTTTGGGGGTCTGGTGAATAATCCCAGGTGCTCGATGAGAATTTGTTATACATGTGAACATCATCTCCATTATATGCTGTGAGATACACAAAACATGATCCTCAGAACAAAAAAGAAAATCACAGATCTAGTAGACTAGTTCAACTAACTGAATTATACTGTTCCTTGAAGAATGAATGATACAAGTCTCACTTAAGGTTGTTTTATAAATGAATGAATGAACACATATACTCATTGCCACTTTTTGGTCTGAGGAAAGGAAAAGACTATTACAATAATCATTCAAAATTTCCATCAATATATTCTCCTATCTTCTACAGTATACTACTTACTACTGTAACTTCATAGCAGCTGCCACAATTGAAGAACAAAGAATGAATGAGTCCTTCAAACTTCCCTCCATTTGATCATCTCATTCCCCTGTTTTCTCCCCACACTACTGTTCCAGTTTATCATGATGGTCCAGTGCCGATAGGAAGTGGAGGAATGGTAGCAAGAAATTCTGGACCAATTGAGAGAAAATGCTCTCATTTCCAGAACTCCAAAGAGTTTACGAAATTCCATTTTTGGATGCAAATTGAAGAAAATAACTGCTTATAAGGTATGATCTGGGCTTCCCTGGTGGCGCAGATGATAAAGAATCTGCCTGCAATTCAGGAGGCCTGGGTTGGATCCCTGGGTTGGGAAGATTCCTTGGAGAAGGGAATGGCAACCCACTCCAATATTTTTGCCTGGAGAATTCCATGAACAGAGGAGCCTGGTGGGCCAAAGTCCCTGTGGTCACAGAGTCAAACACAACTGAGCAACTAATACAAAGTATGATCTAGATATTTCTAGAAGATTCCAGCATCCAGTTTTCATTTGCATGAACTCAATAAATCCCAATACTCCCAAGTATGACCCTTTGATTGTTAAGTGTAAAAATTGATAATTTCTAGGTATTTTCTCATCCTAGAAGATAATTTCTCTTCTCAGGGGAGCAAAAGTTTGCTTTCTACAATTTTTGTGTCAAGACTAAGTTAAACTCAAATCATTCCAACCTAAAAAAGTCATATCACAGCAAGTCAATGACTAAAATATAATAAAATGAGAGACCATATCCCAGAGAAATGTGGAAAGCATAGTATCTATAGAAAAATTGGGTGATAAAGATAATATGCACATTGGAGGCTGACAATCTGTTTCATGTTTACTGATGTTTGGGTTGATGTTTTTTGTGGATCCTGCAGACTTTGTAGAAAGTTTATACAGAAATTAGGTTTCAATATACCACTAATGTAAGGGACTAAGTATTTCAAATTATAGAATCAAGTTCACTGCAAATAATTGCTCTTTTTTAGACTCTCGCTGAATTCAATTCCATGGCGTGATCACTCATGTCTGACTCTTTGCGATCCCATTAAAGATAGCCCACCAGGTTTCTCTGTCCATGGGATTTTCCAGGCAAGAATACTGGAGTGGGTTGCAATTTCCTATCCCAGGGGATCTTTTCAACCCATGGCTCGAACCCACATCCTTTACTTCTTCTGTATTGGCAGGCAGGTTCTTTACCACTAGTGTCACCTGGGAAGCCCTTGATTCCATAGGGGTTTTAGTAAATCCACAGCATTTAGGTTGCTGAGATGGAGCCTGCTGTGCATATAATGAATAATTGTTGAATAAATTACTGCTTGCCCAGTTGACTTACTTAAGGGGCTCTGTTTTTAGACAGACCTAAAATTAAATATTGACTTGGTCATTTTCTAAATGTATTATTAGTCAGTGTTATTAAGTTTCAAGCTATGAAAATCTGTTTGGATGATTCAGTTTTTAAAGGATACCAGGCATCTGAGAAGACTGCCAGGAAGGCCGGCACATCAGGCTGGGAGAACCAGCAGAAATAAAGGCAGCAGGAACCAAAGCCGAGGAGCGCTCTGTGACTGGGACCCTGGCACCTTACAGCCGGGCACAGGCCCGGCTGGGCAGTCAAGGCCAGTGCTGCGAGGCTCTGGTTTCTGATTGTCTTTTGCTCTCTCCCACCACTTTCAGAGTCTTTAATGAGAGGTTCTGCTGCTTAGGTTGGGTCAGTGTTCTTACCTTGACGTTCAGAGTCCACAAGCTTGTCTCCACACGAAGCGGCAGGACACCTTCCGCAGAGATCACTGATTATACATATGTATTATGTAAATAATGGCCATATCCCCCAGAGAGAAAACTGGTGCTGGGCAGTCAAAGAACAACTCATAACCAAATCCAGAAAATGTCTCTTACAATCTGTGAACCCTCCTAAACGATCTCCTGCATTATAAAATCAGGGAGCGGGGTAATATCTATTTCAGAGGGAGGTTGAGAGGATTCAAATGGCTTATGGAAGCTTAGTATTCAGTCCAATTCTGAAATAGGAGGTTTCAGAATTGCTTTTTGCCATGATTTGCAAAAATTCCCCCAGAAATACTGTGATTAATTAATAAAAAAATGGACATATGGTATTTTCTAACTTTTAAGATACCATTGGTTACTGAATTGACCACTGATTTAAACAGCAGGTGTGGGGAAAAGGAAAGCATCGCATCACTAAATGTACATATTGACACGCTTTATGCTGTTTAAGTGTGTTTTGTCTGACACACACTACACTACTAGAATGTAGTATGTACAGGCACTACTTACTAGAATGTAAGCACCATAAGGGTAAGGACTCTATATTTTCTCTGCAACAACATCTCTAGTACATAAAACAGTGTCTGGCACAAAATAGGTATTCAATAAATCGTTGAATAAATGATTTCATGAATGAATGAATGATTGAATGATTAAAGCTAAGAATAAGAAAAATGATTGTCCTCAGAGGAATAAATTTTACTTAACCCATATGGTGAATCAAACAAACATGTGTAACATTACCCTAAGGTATTATTAAACCCTTGTTAGACACCACACTTTGAGCCAAGCACCCTATGTACACTTTCCCCAAAAGTGTAGAACACTCCATTTTTCCAATGAAG